AACAAAAGATTACGGAAGTAAAAGCCGAAGTTAAAGACGATGTTCGAGAAGTTAAAGACGATCTTCGAGAAGTTAAAAACGACGTTCAGGAAGTAAAAGCTGTAGTCAAAGCCGGCGATATTCAAGAAGTTAAAGACGATGTTCAGCAATTAAGACAAGAAGTTGAGGTCCAAATTCAAGCAGTTCAAGCACTTGAAGATAAGGTGAATAGATTAGAAATACAGTCCATTAATCCAGTTAGTGTTGGGGCATTCTCTAGTATGAAGATAAAACCACCAACTTTCGATGGTTCTACGTCCTGGACCATGTGTATTCAACAATTTGAAGCTGCTGCAAATACCAACGGATGGAACGATCAAGAAAAAGCTACAGCGCTACGAGGACCAGCCTTAGATCTTCTTCAATCCATTCCTTGAATCTACCAACAGAATAACCAGCATCTTAGTCAAACTTTAGAATTGCGCTTCGTAGACCATCACAGACAAGAAGTACTCAGAGCTCAAGTTAAATCAAGAGTTCAAAAACCCGGCGAGAGTCTACAAGAATTCGAATCGGAAGTTAAAAGGCTAGTGAGTTTGGCGTTGCCTGCAGCTGGGGAAGACATACAAGAATGGATGGCAGTATCTACGTTTATTGATGGTCTCCGGGATTCCAAGATCCAGGAAAACCTAAGAATGTCCAAGTTCAGGAAAAGTAGCGAAGCCCTTGCCCGAGCATTAGAACTAGAAGCAATCTTTGGTGCCTCAACACCCAGAATACGAGCAGTGTCCATTCAAAGCCCAAAAGATGAACAAACGTCAAAAGAAGATGGTAGCTTCAAGAATCTTATGAGTAAGTTCACGGAGAAGATGAAGAAACTAGTACTAGAAATTAGACAAAGGGAAAACAAGTTCAAACAAACACCTACACCGAGAAATCGAATAAAATGTTACCGGTGCCAAAAGCTTGGACACATGCAATGGGATTGTAGACTAAGGATGTCCTCTCCATCTAGGGATCGTTCCTAAAGCTTTTGGAAGTCGAGAGACGCCAGTCCTAAATATCGACCTAGAAACCTGCAAGAGAAAAACACTAGTTCAACTGCGAGAAGAACGGGCCTGATGGTTGATGACAAGTGGAATACGAAACAAATGAGAGAAGATCAGGAAGCAGATCAGGACATCGGGCAGATTCTCCATCTTAAGGAAAATGATGAATGTAGGCCAGAATGGAGGGAAGTGTCAAACAAGAGCTTGATTTACAAGGCGTTGTGGGCCCAGTGGAACTCTCTGGCCATAGAAAATGGTTTGATCAAAAGAGTTTGGGAAAGTGCCGATGGGAAATCCACTAAGAGCTAACTGGTTATCCCAAAAGACCGAGTGGAAGATGTATTAGAAGAAATACACGACGGAACTTCAGGGGCACATTTCGGAGTTAACAAGACTTTGGACAAAATTCGGGAACGTTTTTACTGGGTTCACTACCATGAAGACGTTAAAAGCTGGTGCCGAAAATGCGACATCTGTGCTACCAGTAAAGGCCCTAAACTTAGGTCTCGGAGGCCCATGAAACAGTACAACGTCGGTCTTCCATTTGAAAGAATAGCGAAAGATGTAGCCGGACCGTTCCCAGAGTCAGAGCGTGGTAACGTAACAAATACATATTAGTTATCATGGATTACTTCAGTAAATGGCCAGAAGTTTTCGCTATTCCCAATCAAGAAGCCATCACTGTTGCCGAGGTGCTAGTGGACAAAGTTTTAATCGTCATGGTGTGCTACTAGAGTTACATTCAGACCAGGGACGAAACTTCGAATCAGCCATCTTTAAGAAAATTTGTGAGATCATGGGCATTCCTAAGACAAGCACAACACCTTTACATCCATAGTCTGATGGCATGGTAGAACGATTCAATAAGACCATAGAGGAACACCTAACAAAAGTGGTCGCAAGGAACCAGCGAGATTGGGACAAGCATTTGCCTCTATTTTTAATGGCTTATAGAGCAGCTGTTCACGAGTCGACAGGTGAAAGTCCTGGTCAACGAAACAAATAAAAGATTGTACTGGATCTACAGATCAAATTGGAGATCAACTGACTGATAGTGTTGGAAGTTGTCATGTAGGTATCAATGCGTGGTGGAATGTTATTCGATATCAATTACTAGATCGTTGTATTTATGATATTGTAATGACCTGGGAAAAATAGACCCGTAATTTACAATGTCTTAACAGTAAAAATTAAATGCAATCAAATAATATATAATCGGCATCCTTTGAGTTATTCGTCCTCACATTTCGTTTTCGCGAAACTCCTTGAAAAACTTTGTCTGAATGACGATTGATGTTCCGTATACGTCGGCGAAGTCACAAATTCGATATCTCCCTTAGTTTCCAAATAGAATTTTCTAGAACTCACTCGAGGATTCACTATCACAGTCAAAATCGGGTATAGAGTCACTTCCGGAATAATTTACACGATTGGTTAAGTCTCTTTTTGTGATTGTCACTGTTTGCACTGAATAACTGTCCCAGTGTTCAGTTTAGTTCACTAAGTGTCCAGTTTTTACACTACACTAGTGCCCCCGCACTTCCGCAATGCGATTTCACTCTGCAGTCCTTTATGTCTCACTTCTGACACCAATTGTCACGGCTTTGGATTGCCAGACAGAAATCTTGGGCTCGTTTCGTTTATTCCAAAAATCAAAGTCCAATTAACACAGCAATAATTTATTCCACGGGACAATACACTCTGACACTAATTACTTTAATAACTGAATCAATTAAACTCTTCACAATAATCACTATTTAAATCACATCACAGTCGAACTGAAACTAAAAACTTACAAGCTAAAACCCGTCCTTATATATAGCCGTAATTTATTCCTGTAAATTCCAGAAGAACCGCGATCGACTTTGTTCCCGAACATCAACGTAAAATCTCGAATCTATGCAATTCTGTACAGGATTACAGGATTCTTGACACACTGACGACCGTTGTAATACTTTAAAAATAAAATGCCTTTTTACGAGGTAACTGCACTGGTCTATGGCCAGACGCCGCTTTTTTGAGAGCTATTTATTGCTGTAGTCATGAGTGGTACGGTGGTACCTAGCTCTGATAAAAGCATTTTCGTACAGTACCGTCATTTGGGGTGAAGTCGGACTGTGGGGGTGAACTCGGACAGACAGGTATTGGCCGGCGTTTTTTACGATATCGGGTATCGGGACACCCAAAAAATCCACCGACCAGCATATTCCGCTTAGTTTAGCTCGAGTGTCGTTGAGAGTGGTGCATTTTTGCTGGATAAATTTGCCGTAGAGCACGTGGTCAGAATTTTATAAATTTTATTGTTTTCTTCGAATTTGAAAACCAAAAAAGAAACTGTTGGGCACTAGGGAATATTGAAACTATGTACTTCAAATGAGCTATTATTTGTTATGTGCTCTATTATTAGTAAACCCATGGCAATTTGGTGAAAAAATATTTATTTTTTTGTTGAAAAATGGTGTTTTAGTAAAAAAAGTCATTTTATAGGGGGGAAGGCGGACACTATCATTAGGTGCTATAAGAAGAAAATCGGCATTAATTTCAAAAATTACAATGAAGAAAACGTCGCTAGAGCACTCGAAGATATTAGACGAGGCAGAAAAAGTATAGTCAAGCTGCTGAGTATTATGGGGTTCCCAAATCCACCTTACATGACAAGAAAAAGGGAATAAAAACGAAGAATCATGGCGTTTGCATGTTTGCATTTTTTTACCTAAAATTTATAATATTTTGCTATACATATTATTTTTTTCTATTTTTTCTGTCCGACTGCACCCCGTACTAGGGGCTAAGACACTTTGTTATGCTTAATTAATGGTCGTCCGCCTTTACCCCACACATAGGGGTGATGGCGGACACACAACTTACCTAAAAAAAAAGGGGGGGGATACAAATGTCATTACTTTTAGTAAGTAATTTGATAAAGGAGATATGAAAGATTCTCAATTATTTTTTTAGGATTTTTTTTCTTTTAATTGTAGATTTTATTAACAAAAAACTGGAAAAATCGTCCGACTTCACCCCAAACGATGGTACCTATACCAGGCGTCAAGGCGAGGGGTACAGTACACTTTGGTACAGTATGATTGAAAACAAAGTGAAGTCAATACCTATCTAGGTTTCTCATATGGTTAAAATTTTCATCTGAGAGAAGCAGTTCTGATACCTAATAAACTAAAATATTCTTGGTTTAATTCTATTCTGTAAGGTTTTTGCGTTATCTAAGTATGTGTATGGATGACGAAGCCTTGAGCAATCATCAGGGAAAAATAAAAATTCTTAAATAATAAATAGTTGCGATTGCAAAATTGTCCAATTATGCACTTATTTAAACGATTATCGCTGTATTTGTTCTTGTTGAGAGCTATTGAAATAGATAATAATATTATCAATTATCTACCTATTAGTTAAAACAAAAAATAACCTAGGTACTTTTTACGAATTATTTACTGGCAAATGAATCAGTACCTATTAGATTTAAAAAAAAACTTGGAAAGTAGAATTTTCCAGAATTACTTGAAATTGATTCATAAATACTTTCTGGTAATTGCCTGAGTTTATGTAATAATACTTTTGAGCAATTGATGCCTGAAATACCTAATAGTATAAATCAAATTCAAACTGGAAGGAATTTTCAAATTATACAGGGTGTTCGGCACATGAGTAGACATACGAAAATCTGAAATAGGTGGGCCCGTCTGCTATGCGTTCCATCCAGATATTTTGACCTGTGCCTTCTGGGTAGACCGCGCATAGCAGACGGCCCTACCTATCTCAGATTTACGTATGTCTACTCATATGCCGAACACCCCTGTATTGTGTTTCGTTTTTTTTTTTAGCAATCAAATTGACAAAAGTATTTCTCATTTGTTAAAACGCAAAAATCCCGCGAATCGCATTATCGTAGATAGTTCGCTGCACATCAAGTGTTTGCACTATGAGCTTTTCAAATATTTTTCCGATAAAACAAGCCAAAAATCGATAGGCTTTTATTTCCTATAAATAAAAGGGTACCACTTAGTTTGAGAGCTATTTGCTGGGAAATTGCATTAATGTGTACCTACAACTGAGAGTGTTTCGTGTAATTCTATTGGAAGCCTAAAATGGCTTTAATACGTATCCTAATCGGTTTGGTGTTGCTATTTGGAGTGAATTTTGGTAAGCAACTTAATAATAAGTATTCAATATGAATTGTTGATATATTTTTTATTCACAGTTGATTCTACTAGCTGCAATAATTGTTCATCGGCTGAAGATGGTGAAAATTGTGGAATTGAAGTAAAAAATGCTTCCCGCTGTACAATTGATGGGGATTATGTCCATTGTATGACTTATCAATATGCGTCTAGTGAGTTGATGTATAGTCTACCATCTGCGCCAACTAATGAAATACCAAATTTTAGATGATTCCAACATAGTGACAGTTCGAGATTGTCCTCATAAAGAATATTATAACTGCAAATCTTTATATGCTGATGGAAAAAATGATTCTTTACTGATGTGCAATGAGTGCAATAGTGAAGGCTTTTGTAACGGAAATATTGATACTAGTAACACTTGCGTGAAATGTGATAGTTCAGCTGGTCAAGATTGTGGAGATTTCATTAAAGATGTAGGCGGAAACACATGCTTTTTGGATAGTACGGTTAACACGGAATGCTTTGTTTATAAGTACAAAGGAGGTAAGAGGATTTTCCCACAACTACGAGTAGTTTTAACTGGATATTGTGTTTCATTCATTGAACACTACAATAAAATATCAAACCTATTAGGTATAAGAATACCAAAGTTTATTAATCTGTATTTTTGAAGGTCCCTTAGCTATTATAATAATAATTGATGACCATACCGACCTTTTAGATGAGCAATAATAAAATAGTTTTAGAACAATTGAGAACAAATTTATCGCAGGAAGCATAATGGCTCTATAGATCTTCTATAGATGAAGTAGTTTGTGAGAATGAAATGTTTTGGATGATGTTCCGGGCAAAATAAGGACTCAATCCTTTAAAAACATTTAACGCCGAGACAAAATAACATTCCACTTTCCATTTTTGTACATTTTTTCAGCATTTTGTAGGTATAATGTAGGTACAACTTCTAATACCAAAACTTTGTTGTAGATTCTTCCACGATTACAGTCAGAGGTTGTGGACGCAATAACACTTGCCAAACCCTTCGTTCTGGCGATTACAAGGACACCTTGTTGATGTGTGACGAATGCTCAAACACCAACGGTACCAATTGCAACCAAAATATTCCCGTGCCCAAAACTTGTGTCAGATGTAACAGCTTAGAGCAACCGGGTTGTGAAAATGGCACTATCGACACAAGTATCATCACAGGCACTTGTAACTTGGACGATACAGTTGATACCGAATGTATTACATACAAATATAATAGTAAGATCTATATAGATTTTGCTTATTTAAATTGAATAATATCTTCTATAGATGCCAGCACGATAGTTACAGTCAGAGACTGCGCTTCAAAGGACACTTGTAAAGATTTTCTTAGCGACACATACAGAGACACACTTGTCATGTGCCATGAATGTTCAGATTCGACAAATTGTAATCAAAATCTCAACGGTTTACCTACTTGTGTGGAATGTAACAGTTTACAAGATGCAAATTGCAGTGAATCAAAAATTGATACTACAACAACAACAGGAGTTTGCTATTTGGATAGTTTTGTTAACTTTGAATGTATCACATATAAATATCAAGAAAGTAAGTACCTACCTATGTGAAAGGTTTTTGTGTAAAATCTAATAATGTTATTTTGCAGATTCGTCTACAGTTTCTGTACGAGGCTGCGCTCCAGATAAGAATTGTGAGGTTTTACTTACTGATACCTATAAGGATGCTTTGCTTATGTGCGACGAGTGTAGTGACGGTGACGATACAAATAATTGTAACCAAGAATTTGACAGTACAAAAACTTGTATTCAATGTAGCAGCGAAAACAATACAGATTGTGAAAATGTTGATCCAAATATCGCTGATGTTTGCTATTTAGACCAAACTGTAAAGAATGAATGTGTCATCTACAAGTATCGAAAAGGTAACATTCAAATCTATTTCCTGGCAAAGGAGCTATCTAATGTTCCAGATTATTCGTATTTATCATTAAACATCCAGTTTTCTTCAGAGACCATGGCAAGATAACTCGCATAAATACAGACTAGGATTTTTATTCATTTTCATGTATCGCTTGATATTTTTATCATTAAGTGCGGTCGATGTTGTAGCTTTATTGAAAGCTTTTCGGTTGAGCTAATTTTCAGTTGGATAGAATCCAATGGCGATGTCAATTGATTATATATTTCAGAAAACAGTACAGAAGTAATAATCAGAGATTGCGCTCAAAAAGATTATTGCGAAACTTTAAATACCGATTCGTTGATCATGTGCTATCACTGTACTGGAAATAACTGCAATAGTGAAATTCCGAATTCCAACAAATGCGTTCAGTGCAATAGTATTGATGATCCCAAATGTGCTGACAATATTGTTGATACGAAAGTAGTTAATGGCACTTGCGATTTGGATGATGCTGTAAATGTCCAATGCATCTCTTATAAATATTTACAAGGTGAGCAAAACTATATAAGTGATGATCATATAAATATATCGCCTTCTTATTTCTAGATGGAAAAACTCACACTTACAGAGGCTGTGGCTCTAAAAATTTTTGCAAACAAGCTTGGTCTAACACAACAACGTGCGCTTCCTGTACTGATGATGATAGTAACGACAATAAGATGTGCAATAGTAAAGTTACATTTGACCCTGAAAAAACTTTGTGCATTCAATGCACAAGCGAAGATGACAAGGAATGTGGAGAAGACGACATGAATTCGAGCAAAATTAAATATTATTGCTCATTGGATGATGATAATAGTGTATGTGTGGGCTACAAATATTTGAATCGTAAGTAAATTCAATTGGGGGAGGTGCTAGAGAATATAGATCCGAAATGTTTTAAAACGTGTTACACCATGTGAAATCCAAGAAGCAATAGGTATTTGCATAATTGAGAAAGCCACTAGTCGATTTTCGGTCGATAGTGTTTTCTCCCCAATCTGCGTCTGTATATGCTGAAGCTGTTTGTTCACTTTTATTTGTGAAAACCAGCTGCAATTGCAAAGTTCCCCTAATGTATCAAGATACTCTACTTAAGGATTCTCATAACTATCTGCAAGGTGTTATTCTCAATTAAAGCAACAACTTCTTCATTAATTGCTGTTTTCCACATACTGGCATAGTTGCTTCTTATTACATCATCATATGTGGCTGGCTTGTCTACATCTAAGCTAAAATAGCTTAAATCATAATATTATATACATTTTGAAGCACTTTCAAAACTCTAGAAGATCGCAATCTTTGATCTCTCTCCCTCTATGGTGTCTGATCCACATATTGAACTAATTCTTGCCCCAGGTGAGGCTCTAGATCATCTTCCAATTTCACATTTTTCTGGTTGCTCCTCTTCTAATTCTAACTTTTCCTCATCACTGTTCTAAGACAGATTCTCTAAATCAAGAGAAACAACTTTTTCTATCAAGTTTTCAACGACTTCAAAAGTTACCTCTCTTTCAATAGCCACTGTATTCTTGTACTGCACTGTAAAATCTAGATTTATGGTACGCTTCATGTTTAATTTCAATCTTTTCTCCTGAGGTATATAAGTCCATACTTTATTACCGAAAAAACCTTTACGAAAACTGCGGTATTTGCGGCCTGGATTTACTTTAAGCTTGCATAGCTCTCACAGACTATATTATAGCTCTAAATTCCTTTTCTGCCCTACTATTTTGCTAGGGAGTGTAGGTATGGCACGCTACGCTCATGTTTTATGCCTTTCTTTTTTAACAAAGTATTCACTGAAGAATTACGAAATTTTCCACCATTATCGCTACTAATAATCTTAATTCTTTTATTTGTCTGATTTTCGATAAATACAAGAAATTCATTCAAGATTTCATTCACATCAGATTTATTTTTCAGAAAATAAAAAAACCTGTGATTACTATAAAGTCATCTTTCAATAGAAACATATAACGCGAATTCTTTAAAAAAGGCTCTTCTATTGGGCCGCACAAATCTATGTGTATCAAATCACCTAGTTCGGTTGTTCTATGTTTGTTCACCTTAAAAGGCTCCCTGCAGTGTTTTGCTTGAGCACAAGAGCTACACAATTCACCAGATGACTTCACTTTAACCTTATCAAGATTAAAAATATGTTTAACGTACCAAAAGTTTTGATGCCCCTGTAGCAAAACGCCCCAAGTACTCTATGTAATTAGTTAGATGGTAAATGGCGAGCGGTATATTGATGGTGTTTATTTCCTTGGAGCTGCTACCTATAAAATTGTGGAAGAGTCTATTTGCAAAAGAGAGAAACAAACTATTGAGGTTTACTAAATTATATTTTATTATACAAAAAACCCAAAAATTTAAATCAGCAAAATATCTTCCAATTCTGACATCCCCATCTATTTTTCTAAATTCGATTACTTCACATCCGTTCAATATGTTAGTATTACGGACCGCTGAAATATCCATACAAATAAAGAAACGCCCTATTCCTACTATTCCTAATAACTTATAAGTTTATTATTTTCAACACTTCCGATTCATTCCTATCAAACTACCCTTCACCTATTTCTATAAATTCTTTAAAGTTTCTAAGTCCTTTACTGACTGCCCAAGCAGCACTTTTACGTCCTAACAACGTTGTCATTGATGTCTTGACGTTAAGCAGCGACGTCAAATAGACGACTATACAACTCTTATTTTCACCCAAAATGGAGAATCATTTCATGGTTGTAACGACGTCGCAGGTCGCGAGGCTTTACTAATTTTCAACTTATACGTCAGCATACACAACCAGATTTGAATGTTTACTAAACGTCGTAAGCCATGACTAACCTAAAAACAAATACCAAGGACGTTCTAGGTTTAATATATTGCACCAGATTCACACTTTTGGTTTATTATTAGTGTTATTTTATTTCCCAACTCATCACATTAAAAATAAAATGAATAGGTACCTACCTATAAGAATATTGGGAGACGTAAAATAATAATAGCGCCTGGCCTTGTCAACAATAAAATACGTGAAACTTAATATTTAGCTCCTGTGGGCACAAAAATTTCAAACGAAGTCAACTTTTCTGTCAAATATAATTATGATATGCACACAAAACAAGCGGGGTTTTGTTAATATTTTCCAAAAAAATAAAAAATAAATCTTTAATTTACATAATTTCTTATATAGTTCCTATGGGTCAAAAACATCTTTGGGCAAGTCCGATTTACACAAAAATAAATAATTTTGACAAAATCCTTATTAAGGATTGATTTTTGAGATATTATTTTATTTTTATTAAACGTACAGCAATGGCGGATGATTAGATAGGAGCTTGCGATATATAAAATGGTAGAGTTAATAATCTGCACCTTATCCTAACCTAATGCGTGTTTTCGTCATGAAAATGGACTTAATCTATATAAACATAGGACCATAGGTAATAAAATAGTACAAACATATTATAAAACTGGATTGACTATAGGACATATGCTGGGACTCTGTAACGAATAAAGATATTTTCTCTATCTCTATTGACGTCTCCTCTCTATTGATTGGACAAGAGAGAAGAAGACAGCAAGAGCCATAGCGATAGGGATAACGATCTCTATCTGTTACAGAGTTCCAGCCGGTAACCTATCGTAACGAGTTCTTTAGGTTGAAGCACCGCTCTCATTTATTTAAAATTTTTCAGAAAACTGTAAATGTTTTATTTTTAATGTTATTCAAAATCTTGAAATATTTCTTTTTAACCCGACATCTATTGAATTTCATAACTGGAAATTACAGGGTTTTCTCCCAATTTCCCTTCTTGCTCCATTTCCTTTATGTTTGGAATACATTTCTCCGTTTTCACTATATCTAAAATATTTTCTTCTTCTTCTGTAATATGTGGATGAGTATTTGAAGCTCCTGTTTTGTCCCATATTATATCAAAAATACGATAGCAAATACTTATTCAAATTGTTAAAAACTTTTTATAGTAGCGCCATATCTATTGTTTGTTTATGTTTTTATTTGACTGATGACAGTTTATTAACGAACGACGCAAAAAGTGTGAAATGCTACTCCAAATTTTACCTGTGTCCAATCTTTAACGTTGGCCGGACGTTTTTCTAAGACCTCTATCTGACCTTATGATTGGTCGTGTCAGACGACGTTTTTAAAACGTTTCAGAGGTTACAGGATATGAAGATAACGACGGATTGGCGTCTTCAATGCAACGTTGAATTTGGTACAATATTATGACGTCCATTTTACGATATTACCTTATGATTGGTCGTATAATACGACGTTTAAAAAACGTTTCAAAGGTCACAAGTATACAAGAGGACGACGGATTGACGTTATCTTATTAAACCTTACAATAATTTCTACATGAAATTTAAAACCCTAATTCAAAATTCATTTCATGAACAATAAGTTTCCTTTAACAACTTTCCAATATTTTAAGACAACAATTCTATTTCATGAACATCAAGTTTCTTTTCAAAATTTCCTATTCCATTTAATAGTTTATTTAATCAGAACAAATTCTATTATAAGTTTCCCTTAACAACTTTCCAATATTTTAAGACAATTCTATTTCATGAACATCAAGTTTCCTGTCCAAATTTCCTATTCTATTTAACCCTGCAGTGGTGGCGCCCAGTCTCTCGGGCCCGAGCTTCATAATCCAATTTATAAAAAGTGTGAGGATTAATTTGCGGTCTTCGCCGTTCCAGTACCTTCCTATAATGTAGTTTACTAGCGAACGTCATAAGTGTTAAATATTTTCTTGAGTGGCTTGGTAATAGTTTAGGGTCTGTTGGACTTGGCGCCACTGCTGCCGATTTGCCGATGGTGGTGTTTCAGAATATTTCCATCTCCGGTAAGTCTATTGTAAGTTCAGTTGATATGTACAATTATTGTATTTGTACAATAATGAGTTATGAAAAAGATTAACCTCGAGTGCTTATGTTATTGGAGGAAGTAGAGACTGATACCAAGGGAAATTTCGATGATGAGGAGTCTGAAGCAGAGGAAGACAGTATTGAGGAAAAATCGTGAGAGCAAAATGGTGAAGATAAACTAGAAGCAGAATCAAGTGCATAAATTCCTCGATTTCCTACTTTCATTGGAAAGGATGGTTCTGTATGAAAAAAAAACATCGTCAAAATCGAAAACTTTATTTGTTTATCACATGCTGTTTTTATGTATCTCATTTGTAGGCTAATACCCTAATTTTATACGGAATATGTTTTTTAGAATATAGTTAAGAAAAAAAAAGTAGTTTAGGAGTCTCTTTCAAGTCTTTACTGATATATTTGAATTTCCTGTTTTATGTTGTTTTATTGTTTACTGTTTATGTCCCCTTTTGTAATTCTGTCAATTTTTGACACTCCTAAACAATAGAATAGAAGCAAACACTCTCTAAAATGAAAAATAGTGGTCCGTTTCAATATTTCATCTATATCCAATATTCCATGATTTTTCAAAAATATGGGTCTCTCAGACTTGGCGCCACTACTAATGCTAAAAATGAGGCGCCACCACTGCAGGGTTAATAGTTTATTTAATCAGAACACATTCTATTTTCGGATTCCTATGCCTAGCTAATAAACCCAACTGTTTAATTCATAATTCCTACTCAAAATTGTATATTGTTAAGTGCATTATAAATTCCCTTCATATATTCTTTGCACAATTAAATTAGAATGTCATTATATCTGAAGGCAATTAAAGTTATGCAATAAAGATCCAAAGTTAATTATAAAGTCAAAAAGTTTTTCTAGTAAAAATCACTCAAGTTTTTAAAAATTAAAGTCATTGTTAATTCACTTCTTATCATTCACAATCATTGATAAAAGTCAGTAAGTTTTACTAGTCAAAATCACTGAAGTTTTAAGGCATAATAATTCAAAGTTTATTCACACAAAGTCGTGTTCATCATTTATATTCAAAATAAATCTTGTCACTATAGAGTACTTACATTTTGTCCATAAAACACAAAACTAATCTAATTTAATTCTTTTGATAACTTAGAGCCCGCACATAAGTTGAACGAATTTCAAATGTTATTTCTTTCACAATTTTCCGTACTTTTTCTAAGTTAAATCGAACGCGTTTTCTCCGAGGCCTTAATAAGAACTTTTCGCGAATTTCAACCCTTCTGACTCATTAGGTACTGTAGACTTTAACTCAAACTGGACTGGACTGCTAACAACTGGCAACTCAACTGCCTTCCACTTCTAAAACCGCGGTATTTATATTTAAGCGATCCCCCCAAAATTTCTTTGTCTATGACAATTAAGATGATGCAATTTCCTTGAAATTTTTGTCATTTTTTTAAAAAATCGAATAATTATGTCGCAATATCCTGATTTATCGAGGTCAATATGGTTCAAGAATGCCATAAATCATTCGATTTAATTATTATGGCCTCGTTAAAAAAGTTCATTGATCGGATGTTAGGATGACATCACGCTGAAGGAAATAATATAATTTCGAATGTATTTGGGGTCACATTAATTTGTTCCGTTTTTAATTTATCGATACTGATTTGGAAATACCGGAAATTCAGTTTTTGATTATTCGATATTATTTAATTTTTCACAGTAAAGACATTGTTGATATCGGGACTATTTTTCCCGGCTCATTACAGTACGTTTGTTCTATGTTTGTTCACCTTAAAAGACTCCCTGCAGTCCCTGCAGTGTTTTGCTTGAGCACAAGAGCTACACAATTAACCAGATGACTTCACTTTAACCTGGGCTTTAACCTTATCAAGATTAAAAAAATCTTTAACGTACCAACAGTTTTGATGCCCTAATTTTTCATGCCACCATTCAATATCCCTCTCATTTTTACCAAAATTACCATTTTCATTATCAAAATTTTCAAACTTTGGACTTTGATGTGTGTGTTCAAAGCAATTATCTGATTTAATGCTTGATGCTTTCTTTGTTCATAAATTTTGCCTATTCGGCATTCGAAATTAAAGATAGACATTTGTCTAGGGCTTTACCCTAAAAAAACAAGTTTATTTTAAGATTTGGAACATAGAGAACATCATACAATGTCACAGAATGGAAATTTTTACATTGCATGCAAATGTTACCTACCTTGACCTTTGGCTAGTAAGTTAGTAGCATCACCAATTTTAATATATTTTGCCACTTCCTTTTTTCATAAATGCAAAATAAGTCCAAGTATCTACACATATGTTTCGAGGCTCCAGTGTCCATGAACCATTCAACATTTACTTCAGACCTAGCTGAACTGGAAGTGGAAATAAGCGTAAAATTCCCATTTGCACTCTTTGACTAATTTTTGTCGCTTTTCTCTTATTCTTCTTGGCAAAACAGTCTCTAATCAGGTGACCCTTCTTCTTGTAGTAGCCACATTCAATAGTAAAACTGTTCATTTAAAAGGTGTGCGCTCACCTCAGATTTTGTTTCAAATATATTTTTCAGTTTATTTTAAACTTTTTTCGCCGATGTACATTTCATCCCATGAGAAATAGTTTTATCCTCTATTCAAGTTACAACGGCTTCCTGAGCGAGGGCATCTTTGACCTTCCATTTAGCAATTTTGTCGGCATCTTCCACTGGCATCGCTTCATTTTCGCAAGTACCTACATAATATCATACAGACCTTTTGCAATTAACACAACTTTCACTTGAAACCGCACAACATTCCAATTGGAATTATTAAACTTGGTGACTGCTACTGTGGCATCCATGTTGCACATCTGATCAATTAATGTATTTGGTCCCCTTTTAATTACCTAATTATCAAGGGCGTCGCTAAGTGGTTTGTTAAGTGGGTATCATCATATAGGCTCGTGCCTGATTTATTGATCCTTCTAGGAATTCAGTTCCTTTGGAATGTTCATTATTGAAAGCACTTAAAAAAAGGTCCATGAACTTTTGCTTTATTCAAATACCAATGTAGGTCAATTATTTTGTTTAATTCCTATTGGCTGATCATTCTTGAGAGGAAAGGTATCGGCTTTCAATAATTTCTGGATATCGATGTTCAGATAAATTTTAATTGAAGTTTCTGGTTGTGCTGTCTGAGTGATGGTCTCTCCTGGGATGGTTGTTTGGTAAGTCCTTATTATTCTTGATAAAAATTTCTGTGGTCACTACAAAGGGTATAAATTCGTCAAATTGTCTGTGACTAAACAATATCGTAAACTTTAATTAAAAAAAGTATTGCTAATACAATTTTAATTGTTTCAAACACATATAAAGTTTCTAGATTTAGAATCGTTACTATCAAATCTAAATTAATCACAATCTTGGATAAGAAGCCTTTTACTCTATATTTGCACCTCTCTTCTTACGCTCAACTAATCATAACTAAATACTTAATAGATTACAATATGTCTTCTATTTGTTTTCAGCTAACAATGGTAAAATTCAAATTAATAGAGGCTGTGCTCCAGCTAATTATTGTGATGTTCTGAATGAAAATAGCAACACAACAATCTGTAATCAAGGAACAAACATTATTTCCAATAAGAAAATCGATACAAGCACTGAACAAATTTTGTGTGTAAAATGTAATACTGACGAAGAAGGATCAAGCTGTGCTGCTGATGAAGTAGCTTTGACCCACGTCGAATTTTGCAAAATGAATAACACAGGCGAAAATAGTTGCTTTACTCATAAATACCTTGATAGTAGGTTGAAAAATTATGAGTCCATGAAATGTTTTGCAACCAAAAAAATTAACCAACATTTTTACAGGTTTAACTGGTAAGATGCACACTGAAAAAGGTTGTGAGGCTTCAAGCTATTGTGACCAACACGACACAAATTTGACCGCGTTATGCAATGTATGCCAAGGCGAAATTTGCAATAGGAAAACTAATGCGACAACTGAAAGACCTTTTTGTGTTGAATGTGACGGCGAAAAAGGAACAGAATGCGGTAACGAGACAATTACTGATTTAAGTAAAGTTGAATATTGTGTACTGAACAGTAATGTAGATTTAAAATGTGTTGCGCATAGATATCTTGACGGTAAGCTGATTATTTCTAATAGTTTTACGATATAATTACATCAAAAATGGGTCAGTTTTTGCTTATATTCAAGCCAATTCAAATCCATACGATTAATTTCTTGAATAAGAAATATAGATCAAACGGATTTAGAATAAATTCTTAATAGAAAAGTGATTGTTCTAGCTTCAACTGGCAAGATCGAAACTCACAGAGGCTGTGAATCCAATGATTACTGTAATAAATCCGAGAATAATCTTACAATAGTATGTAATACTTGCAAAGAAAATGATAAATATTGTAATAAGGACATTGACAAAAATACTGAGAAAACTTTGTGCGTGAAATGCGATAGCGAAGCTGCTGATTCAGAATGTTCTAAGGATAGTGTAGATTTATCTAAAGTTGACTTTTGTAGAATAGCTAGCACAGAAGAACTACAATGTGTGGCTTATAAGTACTTGAATGGTAAGGTGGTTTTAATGAATGCCACTATTGTAGTACAATCTTAAATATTTCAGTCGCAACTAATACGTTCAGTACTCACAGAGGTTGTGAACCTAAAGACTATTGTGCTCCATACAACACTAGCAGCACTACAATATTATGTGACGAATGCAAAAATGATAATAATTGTAATATGGCTAATGATCCAACTAATGTTACTTTCTGTGTACAATGCCATGGTGAAGATGGATCAGAATGCAGCAAAGATACAACTGATTTAACTCAAGCTGAATTTTGTAAAATAGACAGCCCAAATGGTAAATGTATAGCTCATAGATACCTGGATGGTAAGTTTCATTTACATTACAACTCTATACAGTGAACTATGGAAGTATGATTAATTTCAGTTACATCTGGCAATGTCAATACTTACAGAGGCTGTGAAGTTAAAAATTATTGTAATCAACAAAAGAATAGTACTAAAATAATATGCTCTGAATGTGATAATGACAATAATTGCAATATGGACATCAAAACAGACGAAGAGAAAACTCTATGTGTGTCTTGTAATGGTGAAGCATGTGCCTCTAATTCAATAGACCTTAAGCAAGTTGGATTTTGTGGGTTAGTTAGCTCGGACACTAATAACCGATGCGTAGCTCACAGATATTTTGACGGTAAGCAATAAATATAATATTTTCTTTGAATAATTAAACTGTTTTCAGTTAAATCTGGCAAAATTAATACTTACAGAGGCTGTGAACCTGAAAATTATTGCGCTCAGTACGACATTAGTGAAACTTCATTATTATGTAACGAATGTAAAACTGGAAATCTTTGCAATAGGATTATCGAGGATGAAGATGCTCTCTGTGTACAGTGTAGTACTAATGAAGGATCAGAATGTGATTCTGACATGATAACTCACTTCAACCAAGTTGATTTTTGCAAAATTAACAGCTCGAACAAACGTCAGTGTGTCGCTCATAGATATCTCAATGGTAACTATATTAGGGGTCCCATAATCATTGGGAATCAGATTTTTGTCTAGTTTTAGGAAAACTCTGACTCGAATTTGGTTCTCGTTATTACTTAACTTTGCCAATATTTTTCTTTTGCTGGTCTACCAGAATTTGCTTTTCTTTAAAACACACTCCACTGCTTCTCTTTGTTACTCAAATTTCTATAACAGGCGCTCTATAGACGTAAACAACTGAATTCTTAGAATTTGATTTCGTAACATATAACACTCACAATGCATACTTTTAGTTACAACTGGCAAGATCAGTACTTACAGAGGATGCGAACTTGATAATTACTGTGATAATCAATCAACCGACAATCCAATGACAATAATGTGTACTAAATGCACAAGCACCGATGATACTGTATGTAATATGAAAATTGATACCAGTGCTGAGGAAATTAAATGCATAGACTGTACCGGAGAAGAAGGAACAAATTGCGCTAATTTTACAATAAATTATTTAAGGCAATCCCATTTTTGTAAACTCACCGATAATCAGCAATGTATAACTTACAAGTACCTCGATGGTGAGTTATTGCGTATCAATCAATCAATATAATAATAACTTTATTGTATAGAACAAACTAATAAAATCAACATTAAAAGAGGCTGTGAGAATAAAAATTATTGTAATACATACAAAAATGACAGCAATACACTTATATGTGACGAATGTCACGACGAAATATGTAACATAAACAATGGAAACGAAGGAAAAATTATTTGTATACAATGCAGTGGCGAAGAAGATTCACAGTGTGGTAACAGCACAGTTGATTTAGCTGAAGTTAGTTCTTGTATAGCAGATAGCACATGTATATATCATAAATATCTTAACGGTAAAAAGTAATATTTAATTAAAAATTCAATTAGCTACAAATATTTTTTTTTAGTTTCAACTGGCAAATTCAACATTCACAGAGGATGTGGTGGTGAAGACTATTGTACGCAACAAGTTAATAACGGAAGTACTACTGCACTTTGTAAGCAATGCAATGATACTGATCACTGTAACATGAATATTGACATAAGTGAAGAATTAACTTTATGTGTATTTTGTGAGGGTGAAGAAGGTTCAGACTGTGCTGCTGCAACAGTTGATTTAACTAAAACAAGTTTTTGTGGTATCAGTCCTGAGAATGCGACAGACAAAGAGTGTATGAGCTATAGATATATGGAAGGTATTTAAGAATGTTGTTATTTTTTAAATGATCTTGCATGGTTTTGTTTTAGAATCCACCAATAGACTGACAACAGTTCGAGGTTGCCAAAACAAGAACTGCTCAACTTTGGTTGTAGATGATGGAAAAATTCAACAGTGTTCTGAGTGTCATGAAGACATTTGCAACGATTATCTTGAAATAATAACCACTACGACATTGCCACCGACTAATACGACATTGCCACCGACTAATACGACATTGCCACCGACTAATCCGACATTGCCACCGACTACGACATTACCACCGACTACTACATCTGGGGCAACGTCTATTATCCAATATAAATTTAATGTTTTGTATTTATATTTAATTCTTAGTGTGTTATTTTTAGTCGATTAGAAATATTTATAATTTATAATACAATAAATTGACTACCTATTACATTAAGTTGTATTAGTTGATTAGGCCAAGAAGTGGGTCTTTTTGTGCTAAGCTCGTCGTTTGAAGCACAAAAAGGATTATGTACATACACAACGCTATTGGCAGCATATAACTTAACACTTAACTCAGGTCAGGGCCGTAGCCACGGGGGGGGGGCATTCGGGGGCACAGCCCTATCTTTCAAATGATAATGCCCTACCTTTAAAAATCAACATACATTAAGGTTTCTTTAGAAAATTTAAGAGTAGATGATGCCTGAAGTAGATATAGGCCTGAAATCGGGTAAGCGAGGATGAATGTTTCCGAAAATGCCTAAATCTATTGAACAATGGTTGACGTTTGCACAGAGGAAGTTTTTTTTTTGTTTTGAAAGAGTGCAAATGGCCCAGGCGGCCGACGTGAAAATCCGCGCCACTTTGCTTACTTGCCAGAGATGTTATTTATTGCAAGGTTGTTTAATAGAGACGAGAGAGGTAGGATGCCTGGTAACTTTATGACGTCATCTGGGGTGCCTCAACATAATGCAAATCTCTATAAGGTATCCCAGATCAGATGCGTCATCAAGTTACTCATTACCATACTTTACCATACATCATACATAGGTACCTTGATGCGTCATCAAGTTACCCATTAGCATACAACCTGAACCTTGATATATTGAAAAATTTTGTTTACCTATAAAGAATTTAGGGGGGTGAGGGGGGGCAAGTAGTGTATGCCCTATGTCGAATTTGTCATGCCCTATCTTAAATTTGACTCTAGCTACGGCCCTGACTCAGGTTCTTCGGCGCCGACCACTTCTTAATAACGTGTCAACTAAAACTTGAGAATTTTAAGCTGCAGCCCTTCTTTGCAACTTATCGGAATAGTAAATGCTTTTAATTTATGTCTTTTAGAAATATTTAACTTGCATGCACCAATAAAAACCTCCCGAATTGCCAAAAGTCAAACACGAAATAATACGACGAATAATGAGCGTAACAAAAAGGACTCAAAAGAGTAAATGACAGAAATGGGGGAAAAAAAAACAGAACATAAAAGACAAATATTCTGTGGACAAACTTAGAGAATAAAATAACTTTTGGGTAAGGCTTTGGTCAGGTACTTATTTGTATTTGTTGTATTCTATATTTGGATCTATCTTGAAAGTTCTACCTTATCTGAGTCATTGAAAAACTCTTCACCATTGTACCTAATATAATCTATGTATTTTCCAGAAGTTGCTTTCTTCACTTTGTGTTCATTTTTTTAAAGTGTCAGTTGTCTGAATGTTATGGGTAGTGAGTTACAACCGGATATCAAAGTTGGCAGCAGCCTACTAACTTGGATGTTTAGGTCAAATCCAACATCCAACTGGACTTGGAACTTGGATACACAGTTGTATCTGTGGTTAACACGATCCAATAATCTACCAAGTGAGGCGCGAGCATCGTCCGAAGGTAGGTACTTGATCCGTACACTTGGACCGAGTCAACCTAGGGGGAGTTGAGGCACAAGCATCGTCCAAGGCTTAAGGGTAGGTACCTACTCGATCCGTACACTTGGACCGTGTCAACCTTTGGTGAGTTCGGAACGGAATGGTACAAAGTGTCGAAACTTTTTACACTATTAACCCGTGGCGTTCGTTACTTGGTAGAACTGGTAGAAGTAAGTTTGGTGTACGCTTTATTTGCGCTTGGAAATAATTTGGTGCCGGAATGGTGTAAAGATAGTTGGACACCACTGTAATGACTCACAAAAGACGAGCTCGGTAATTACTTAGAAAATTATTTTATTAATTAAATCTCTTCAACGTTTCACCTTGAGACAAAATTATAATTTTAATTTATTGCGTGCGGTATTCTTTGACACAAAGTAACATGTACAGGGTGCTGCAGTTTGGAGTGTTTCAACAGGAAAAACATACTTCCAGACCAGATAGACGAAAATTGACTTAGACGTCATGGAATCGATTTTCGAGAAACTTCGATTGTCAAAAACCGTATCACGATATCTCCAATGGTACCATTGATACAGGGCGATTTTCGATTTTCCCCTATTATGAAAAATAGCTAGTTTTTTATTTATCAATTTTTTTTAGCTCTGTAAAAACATTATGGAGACACTTTTTTGAGCACAATCCAATGGCGGACTCAGTTTTTTTCTATATCGCTCCGATTTCGATATATCGACCAAAGTCCGATATTTTCAAATGAAACACCCTATATATTAATAGCTCATTGATAGCTCTGTTTTTGCTGTAAGTACCAATGTGTTAGGAAAGGATTTTTTCTGCGATTGACAAGAAATGTCACCATTTTTGACCAGTTGACAGGTCGCAAAACTCAATATTCTGGTATTTTAATTATGTTTCAATAGTTGCTAAGGAATCAATGAATAACAATACCGGAAACACTTTTCCGGCCTAGGCCGGGAAAGTGATTCTCGTACTGCTGAATAATTTGAACAAAAAGACAAACATTTAACAGATATTTAACCGATCGCAGAAAAAATAGTATGTCTATTTCAGTGAAAAAGCACATTCTCGGCCTTCGGTGTTTGCCGGCCTCGGCTGCGCCTCGCCCGTCAACTTACACCGTCGGCCGAGAATGTGTCACTTTTCCACCTGAATACACAATATACTATTATATGTGTAAGGAAAATGAGGAAGGTCTCTTTCTAACTCATTTTTTCTTATGACTGAAACAGATATAATTTTTTTTCTCGAAAACTATTAGAGATAAACCTATAAAACTTTATATCATTAAAATCAGCAAAAGCAGAGCTATCCAATGAGCTGTTAATATATAGGGTGTCCTATTTAAAAAAATCGGACTTTGGTCGATATCTCAAAATGGGAGCAAAATAAAAAAAAAACTGAGTAAGCCACTGGATTGTGCTCAAAAAATTATCCCAAAGATGTTTTCACAGAAATAAAAAAACTTGATAAACAAAAAACTTCTAACCATTTTTCATAATAGGGGAAAATCGAAAATCGCCCTGTATTAATGGTACCATTGAAGATATCGCGATACGGTTTTTGACAATCGACGTTTCTCGAAAATCAATCCCATGACATCTAAGTCAGTTTTCCTCTATCTGGTCTAGAAGTATGGTTTTCCTGTAAAAATACTCCAAATTGCAGCACCCTGTACAACATATTCTTACCGAGATTTTTAAGTGATTTAAAACGAATTCTAATTTATTATAGCGGCATCTTTGAAAACGAACACGTGCAAATTTTGTCGGCATTTTTTAAAGTCACAAAGAAAGGGATTTTTAAAAAAGCGTGGGGCCGCGGCTGCAGAAATGACGCAAAAAACGCGTATAAAAAGGGCATTCCGTTGAAAGACAGTTGTGCAGTAGAGTACAGTAAGAAAAAGTCTCTAAGTCAGTATAAGACAGAACAATCCGAAGCTTGAGTTGAAAGGCGAGTAATAAGTCAGTTTTTGAAAATGTAGTGAGACAGTAAATTTCGGTCTAACTCTAAACAAAGTTACGATAATAGGAAATTCTTGAATCGGAGTAAGAAAATTCTTAGATCATGAAAACCAGTAAAGTATTTATCAGAAATCGAACGTAACATTTAAATTCGGGATCTGTAGTAAAATAAATTACGCGTAACGACGACAAGTAAAGATGCCCCTATAGGAAGAGAATTGAACATTGTATACTAAGGTGAATACTTTTGTGGACTTAACTTGTGAACTTAAATTGTGTACTCTTAGCGATTGATAATAAATAAGGGACTTGAAATGTTTTTGGAATTGAAGTTACTTTTTTAAAGCAAAGCTTTTTAAAGAACTTAATGAAATGTTACTAATTTAAGAGATAAGCTCTTAAGTCTTAGAGTAAAGAAGTTTGTTTACCTGATTATATAAATAAAGAGATAATAACCATTTGAAATGCAGAGGATTTTTGTACTTATTTCCACCCCTAGCAATTACGAACCCTACCACTGTAGCCACTCTGGTAAAAATCTGTAATAAATTGGAAACCGCTCGCCAACAATCAACATCTTGAACAGTGATACAAGGGCGGGTGCTACACCATTTTCCGACGTCTGATGTCCGAAAAACCCTCTATTCTGACATATTATGTACAAAAATATGTCAAAATAGAAGGTTTATCGGACATTGGACGTAAGAAAACGGATGCATGAGACTTCGGCTGACTCCGGCTACCACTTTGAAGGTGACAACGTGGGTTATTAAAGAAAGTTAACAGCCAGCCTACTGAGTTACTTACTTACTTGGATGTTAAGTCAAACCCAACATCCAACTGGACTTGAATACACAGTTGTAATCTGTGGTTAACACGACCCAATAATCTACTAAGTGAGGCGCGAGCATCATCCAAGGGTAGGTATTGTCTGTGTCTTGTGTCTGTTATTTTTATAATCTGACACTTTCCGTATGGGGAGCGAGATCGGAAGCGAGGGGGTGAAGCATAGGGTAAAAACAGGTGTGACGTCAGGTGAGCGTAGGATTGGCGTTCTACCACATAACAGTGAAAGAATATTCATATTCCCAGAATATTCCCTCAAAGTGCTTTTTGGAATGTTCTTTTAGAAATGAATAATGAATATTCTAAGATTGTTTCGATCGAAATATTGATTTTTATCTTGATTGCGCAATTAAACAATAATGTTCTATCTAGAACCTACTAAAAATATTATAAGTATATTCTTTTTATTTTGCTTTGTAGGACTTCGATTACTTCGAAGTGAGGGAGCCACGCTCTACTTATTTGAGATCTATGTCTTTCTTGTCGTGTATGAATCTCCTTGAAACCTGTTTCTCTGAGGACTCTGAGTTGGCGTGCTCACCGCTTATATTGAGCATAACAAACTCGAAATGGAGTTTTGGACTTTGGTTAAACACTTGGATTTTCCAACAACTATCTCACTACCTATAATCCAAATAACAAAAAAGAAAATTGTAGGTTCCAAATTCCAAGAATATGTGTACCCGACCATGTAGTTCTAAGAACATCCTAAAGCACATGTAGGTAGGTACTGAATATTTTGTGGTATATACCTATACCTATA